CCCCAAAACCCCAAAACCCCAAAACCCCAAAACCCCATAATTGAGAAATGAATAAAATTTGAGAATCTTAATAATTATTTGGATTCAATATTAGCATTAATTTATGACAATTTTTCCTGCATATCGAAAAATGATCATAATCATTGTATACCATTTAGAGCCACATTTTGTATCTATTAGTCTAGCAGGTCTTTAAGTTTTTGCTTTGTATCGTTATCGAGATTATGTCTCTTTGCGAAATCGTTTGCTAGGTCAAGCGCTGAATTTCCAGGGAATACTACTACCCTCTCCATGTTACCTTGCCCTAAATTTATATCTACATAAAGCATTGGTATTTTCTCTTCATTAGGTGTAGTAGGAAAAGGCTCTTTTACAGACTAAGTTCTTGAGCTTTCTTTATTTACCCCAAGGTATTCGTCAAAGGTGCTTGGGTCGAGTTATCTTGTACCTTGTAGATCATTGGTTCTAGTGTCATGGTCTTGGTATTTTTAATTTGACTGGGCATATTCGATTTTATCATTAGCTGAGCTACTTAACATTGATATGTTCCCCTTATTAAATTTTTTAGGCTTAACAGTCGTGGATTGCTGTCTGCTTTCAGATTGATTTCTGTGAGGACTTGCCTTTCTATTGCTTTAACTTTCATTTCTATGTCTTCCTGATTCATTCAAAAGTCTTAGTTGCTCTTTTTCATCTCTGGCTTTCTATAATCTCTGTATCGTTTATTAGGATCCCCTTATGTTAGTTACGCTCTTGCTTGTTATCATTGACTAATTTGGATTCTTGAAATAGCTATTCTCTTAGCTTTATATTATTTATGGGTGAAAAGTCAGCTCATCCTTCATTCTCTCGAATTCATAGTCAGCATTTGACTTGTCCATCTTCTCCTTTTTGGGCAAGAGCTTTTTGCTAAGTTCGAATAGATCATTGAATTTATTCCCAGAGTTCGGCATAAGCTCTCTACTCCTTATTTTAGCCGCACTTTGAGAAGAATCCTTTCTTTTATTGAAATTTTGCATAAGTTCTTGGCTTTTACCTCTGTTTGAGTCCCTTCTATAAGTACTCACTTCTGGTTTAAAGGTGCACTCTTTTAATTATTCTTGCTCAACTATCTCTTTGGCTGTCTCCTGCCATTTCGGATTTTTAGCTGGTTGAATTAGCCAATCTATTGAAGTGAGCTTTGCTTGACATACCTCTTCTAATTTCTCTCTATATTTCAAGGCTATATCCTTAGAAATATTATTTACAGTTGGCTTGAACTCAAACTCTTGAAGATTCATCATATCTTACTTTCTAAGAGTTCTTTATTTGCTCTCAAATTGTGTTCTATTTAAATACAGCTGATGGAACTCTTTTTATATAAGAGAAATTTCATTAAGTTCCAAGAATAAATCTCCAGAAGAATTAAATTCTCCATATAAAGTCCCTGGTACTTTCCTTAGCTCTTACTCATTCTTATTCAAACCAGGTTCTAAATAGGTGCCCATAATAGCTAGGAGGAATATTCTTAGGTTGTTTAATGTAATATGACTATAAACCTCTCCACCTAGATATTTCCATAGATCATAAACAATGCTTTTCTCCTAATCCAATGAATCATTTTCTCTTTAGGATGTACTCAGATGTTTCTCAGCCATAAACCCCAATCTTACCATGAATTCCTTGTAAATCAAATAGTTTAGAGTCTCATTACTCTAAGATATCTCATCTAGGGGTAAAGTCTACCATTGTCTGATAATTTCTTTAGTAAATTTCTGAATAAAATATTTCTCAGAATTTGCGCTTAATTGCTTGCTAGACATCATTTGCAATGCATATTATTCTTAAATAGAGGCCTCTTATATTTTATTTTCTTTTTTTTACTTTCTCATTTTAGCATCATCATATAAATGATCTTCAATCGGTTTGTCTCTTTTAATGAGTTAGGACTTTTTATGAATCTTTGGTCTGAAACTTAAGTTAGTATTCTAGGAAATACTTCCCTCAAATTGGCTTTTTTCAGTATTTCTACCCATATCTTAATTGGCTAGAAGAACTTATTAAAGCTTCTACTTATTGTTTTGAGCATATAGTCTTTAATGAACTTCTATTTCATTTTATTAAGGTCTTTATAATTTCTACTTCTCCAATAACTTCTTGGACTTATCATTAATCCTGGGAGCAGCTTTTAACTGCTCTTATTGCTTCGCCATTATCATCTCTGCTTGCATGTTTAATCTAATTTGCCTTTCTTCCTCCTTCTTAGCTTAATCTTCTAAGAACTATTCAGGATTCCTATGTTGATTTTATCTTTTACCATTTCTATTGCCACTTTGAGATCTATGCTTATTCGGTTCGAAAGTGCATTGCTCTAAGTCTTGTAATTCTTGCTATTCTTATAGTTGGACAAGTCTTTGTTTCTTTTTCTCCTCAAAATCTATATTTTTCTGAATAAATTCATTCACATTAAACTTTTTGTCATTTTGATGGCTGTTTTAATTCCCATTTCCATATGATTAGCTTTATCTGTCAAAGGTCTTGCCTTGATGATCAAACTTCTAACCTTATCTTTAAGTTTAAGCTACTGGAGCTAAAAGGGAACTTGTAACTTTCATCTATTATTCCAGCTTTTTATAAGCTTTGCGAAAATCAGCTTCAGGCTGATAGCTTTTGTTGTGTTAATGATGGATATTCTCAGGATGACTTATAGTTTGATTTTGATTGTAGTTTATAAGAAATTTACTCTAATCTGTGTTATTTCCTATCTCTGTAGTATTTCTCTTTGAGTGTAAGAAACTTTAACTCTTTGATCCGACTAGGAGATTACTAATCTAAGATTATTTTGCAAGTGTTTTATCAAAAGTATGATTCTAATATCCATTTGATTTATCCTAAAAGACTTTTGAATTTTACTGTTGCTAAGCGTAATCTATAGTGTTTGACTAGCCAAAAGCAGACAATTTTTCAGGTCTAATGTCAAGCTATTACTTTTAAGGTGATGCTGATCTCTAATTATTTTGAGTCATGCTGAATTAAGTCTATTGTTGCAAACTTTGCTGGAATTGAGTATGCTCCATTGTAGTCACAGGTATTAGTTCGTGCTGATTCATCATCTTTTTATGCTTAAAATTGTTAGGTCCTTCTTTTAAAATACCTTCGTCAGTGTCAGAGAAGTCGAAGCCATCATCATCATTGTCATAATCTTGCTTAACTTGATGACTTTTCACTTTAAATTGCGTTTAAGGTTGTGATGGAGCTCCTCTTAATTAGTTGTTAATTTATTATCCTTGTTTCAAGTAAGAATTCATATTTTAACTTATTAATAATTTTAAATAATTAAAACTTTATAAAACTAATCATCATAGTACATAAGTCGTAGTTACAATATAGTCCTATAGTTTCAAGCCTTATAGTTTTCTGATACCCAATGTTGACCAAGCGTGATATAGAGAAGAAATGTACCAGACTCCGATCAGTTTCTCAGAACTAAATGGATACTGATCAACCAGCATGAGCTTGAATTCTTGAGCTAGGGGAAGCTGAATGACTTCTTGATTTTGAGATTTATAGTTCCAAGTCGAAAGATTGAGAAAGTCTCGCTCTAGTTCTCTAGACATGTGAAAATATTAATTGTCATTGAATTTTAAAAAGAATTAATTTCGTTTCGTTTATTAACCCAGATGTGTCCATGGGGTTTTGGGGTTTTGGGGGGTTTTGGGGTTTTGGGG